AATGAGAGAGTGGAGAAATGTTTCTTTCCCTGGGTGGATTGGTAGTGCATTAGTGTTTTTCAAATAATATTTGAAATACTAGCAAATTAGCTAATCAAAGCACATGCTAGTATTTAACATGGTAGATCACACCCTTAGAAATGTTTTGTTTATGATGTTTTAGACCTAAATGTTGTGTATCTTTTTTTGTCTTTATAGTGATGAAGCAACCATTATCTCAGGGACAAAGCTTGCTAAACAAGTTTTGAAAGAAGTTCAAAGGGATGTAGAATCGTGGATATCCTTTGGAAACAAGAGACCTCATCTTACTGTTATATTAGTAGGAGACAATCCAGCTAGTCATATCTATGTGAGAAACAAGATAAAAGCAGCTGCAGCTGTAGGTATGTGTTATGCAATATCAATGATCCTTTGGTAATCACAGGATACTGTTATTTCAAACTGAAGAACAAGAGGAGGGGGGGAACCCCCTTTGTATCTTTATTTAAGTTTGCTCTGTTTTCTTCCTTAGCTTCTTTGATGAACCTAGAGAAAATAAAGTGCATTGACTTGTGAAGAAAGTAGTTTTAGTGGCACATGGAATGGTAGCTATAAGTTGAATTCTGTATCTGAAAATGTTGTTAGGAAACAGTTTGCACCCCTGCCATTAGAAAATGGAAACTAAAGGAGAATGCAGAGGAAGTTTTTGACAGTTCTGTGTCTTAACTGGCTTTAAGGTGAATGAAGATAAGCAGAGAGAAATTCTGCCAATTTTTAGTTGTTTCTGCAAGACATTTGGATTATTTTTCAATGTGATGTATTTGTTTAAGAGGTTGTCTTCTCAGTACCTGTTGGATTCCTTTTTTTGTATGTGGATTTTCAGCCCACCTCCACCTGTGGTAGCAGTCCCTACTACGTGGGAATGGATGGGAACAGTGATGAAGTAGCCAGTTTCACAGGAAGATATTGAGAAGAGCCTTTTTCTTCATAACGTCAATAATTTTTTCGTAATGTCAGTCTTCATGTGCATCTGCTGTTTCTCATGGAATATCTGTCTTCCCTGAATGTTGTAGAGCCAGGCAGGCCAATCCAAAACCAAGGCTTCATACCTCTGAATATGAAGGGGAAAATTTCAGACATAATGAAATCCAACAGTAAAGCTAAATGGCCCTGGAGAAGGGCCAATCACTATGTTATCTTATCTCTAAATGAAGAGTATCATAGCCTAAACAGTGAACTTCAATGTTGTTTCTGTCACTGAAACTGCCACCTTGTGAAGTAACTTGAAATATTTTATTTTCTAATAACAAGTTTTGTCCCACAGAAGAAGAAAATCTATTAGATAAAATGCCAGTATTGCTAGTGTAGCATTATCTGCTCAGTTTTAGTTATAACCCTCAAGAGCACAGTTGTAGTAAAGTTACGTGCTTTATATTCCAAATATTTCTAAACTGTTGTTTAAGTTTGGAGCTACTGTGTCCAACTATAGATTTTATTTATTTATTTATTTATTTTCTGTATGTTTCATTTTAAGATTGTGCTTGGTATCTAGAAGTACAGCATTAAAGACCAGACAGCAAAAACAGAATTTTTAGTAAGCCCTCCATGGTTATTCAAGACAGTTGTTAAGCATTGGGCAGATGTTTAGACAAAACAACTAAACTGTCCATAGATAAATTCCCTGATACTAATGTCTGTCTTCTGGTTTTGGTTTTTATCAGGCATTTCTAGTGAGATCATACTGAGGCCTGAAGACATTTCTCAGGAAGAACTCTTAGACATGACGGTAAAACTCAACAAAGATTCAAGAGTTAGTGGTTTATTAGTTCAGCTACCTCTCCCAGGTAGGTAATGTCTTTCATATACAGTCAACATAAGAGGAAAGAGCTTAACAATTTTGGGTTGCAGGTGTATCTGAGTGACATAGGAAGATCTTGAAAGAGGACATGCATAATGAAGGATTAGTTGAGATGTTAAATTTGTTGTATACTAGCCTAGAGTTAATTTTAAACAAAATAACAAATTGTGTGAATCATTTCATACTGGCAACCTTGCCTTTTTTTTTTAAAGTTCAGTCAGAATGTTATTTCAAAGAGTTTTCCTACACACACACTTAACCCAGTTTATTTATCTTTTTTGTTTGGTTTTGGTTTTTATCATGTTGCACTGTTTTGCCTTGAACTCCAAGACCTTTGCTGTATTTTCAGCCTCTGTATCATGCCAAGTTGTGTTACCTGTTGAATGATGCTACAGCCTTTCTCCACCATTGTTCCAAGTTTTGCCTTAAATATTTGTTTATCTTTTCTATGCTGTCCTTAATGTTTCAGATGAGCTTTGTGCAAATGCTCTAATAGGCTCTACTATTTTCTTGGGTTTTGTCTTCTCCTAATGCATAATGAAGTCTCACTAAAATAGCACTTGGCGGTGATAAAACCTGCAGTTTTCATCTCAACCTACATAAGTCAACTTAGTTAAGTCACTGTATGCTTCCTAATAGAGAGGTACCTAAGCTGCTGGAGTCATTGTACTAAACTAACTGGTGTTTTGGGTTTCCTGTCTCTGTGTTTCCAAGTGCTGTCTTTTATAATACATTTATACTGTATGCTCTGAAAGGCAGGAGCTGCGTTTTTTGGCATGTGTAGGTGTGATGGTGTGATATAAAAGTACAGCACTTTGTATGGTATGAATGAAATCAGCCCCTTGCTGAAATAAGTTGGCCACAAGGTGGAAGTGCAACACAAGTAAGGAGACTGAAATCTTGGACAGCAAGTTAGGAGCTCTGGGAGTTGATGTAATGTGATCTGTTTACCTTAAACAAACATCTCTCCCACTAAGAACAGATATGGGGAAACAGATAACAAATTTTCATTTCAGGACTACTAACTTAGGCAAAAGGTGGAGCAGTGACAGCCTAGGGATGGAAATCTTTTGTCTGAAGCACACAGCAAAGGAAACAGATTTATCTGCTGGACTCCCAAACCACTGTTGTGTTCCCAGAACAGGGAGTTGTCAATTGCCACCTGTCTTAATTGGGTACATACTCAGTAAAATGGTTAGGTACTCCTTGCAGAAATGGAGTTTTTTATGAGGAGGTTATCATGTCCTAACAATCTGCTCTTCAGCTGTCTGCCTTCATTGGTAGCTCAGTAACTAGTCTGAGGCCTGAATGTTGCCTGCCTTGCTAAAAACCTTAGAACAACTTAATCAATAGCAGAACTTTTTCCATATTGCATAGAGAAGTTAAATATGCAAGTTACCCTGACCTGAGATGTTCAGGGATTTCTTTTCATAGTAGATATCAGATATAACTCTGGTTCCTGGTTTATTTTTTTTCTCCCAAAGGAACTACAGAAACAAAGGGCAGCAAGCTAAGTTAGCTCATTTTCCAAAATAATTTTGATTTGCATTGTAATTGAAGGAGACAAAGCCTAGAAGTTGTGAAAACTTTCAAGTGGAGGCTGCTTATTCCAGAGATGAGGTGGTTGTGTGGGGTTTGGGTTCTTTTCAGTAAACCACACATAAGTGTGGCTTATGATCAACATTGGTATGAAAATAGAAGCAGAAAATAACTTCGTTCTCTTACACTTTTGTGAGCTGGAACAACTTAACTTTGAGGATTGTCATCTTTGCCTGAGGAAAAGTTCATTTCTGTGTACATTTTGAGTGCACTACTTCTGGTGTGGTAATGGTTTTGTGGAGAGCTTCCTCTATCTTTTTTAAATTACCTGGAAGATGGCTATGAAATGTTAGATATCTATTTGATATCGAATATGAAAACCTCAGTTTTCTTACTTGTAAGCAGCAAAGAAGTGTGAGACAGATTAGTACAAATGGGATGTTCCTCTGACTGTGCAAGCCCAAACCTGGCCGCTGTGCTGGAACTGACTGTTACAATCATAGCAGTGTCTCAGTACAGCTTCTCCAAATTATTTCCAGGGAGCTTATTGCTGCTGCTGAACAGCATCCTCCTTGCTCCATGTCTGTATTTCTTGATTCACGTGGTATATTTTCAAATCCCTTTTGTACTATGCTTTTATTTTCATCAGTCTTCCCTTTTCAAAACCAGTATTTATTTTTGTAAGTCAACCTTAGAGGCACATGGTGTTTATTGTGTAAATAATAGTTTCTTTCTGTGCATGTGAGAGTAGCTAGGCAAGGGATGCCCCTTGTCAACTTGCAAGTTGGGTTAGGAAGTGAAAGGATGAGTGCAGAGAGGAACTTGGCATGGAGAGTAGCTTGGAGTGACAGCAAGTCAGTTTGTGTAAATATCAGGTGAGAAGAGACTAAGCATGTTCTATGAGACTGACACTGACCTAAGAAATGATTTTGTTCCTCTTAAAATAAATGAGGCCGTGTAGAGTCAACTGGAAACAAACCTGAAGACACATTTTTTGAGGCAAATCAAATCTAGTCATTAAGTAATATAGTAACCCTCTCTACAGTTTGAGTTGGTTTTGCTGGTTGGTTTGGGGATGGCCCACCATAGATGTTTTTTTGGAAGTGTCTCTGATGGGGAAGGGGAGGTGTCCGCATCCTCTTGTCACAGGTTCCTGCCAGTCTTGTCCTCAGCTATGTAGCTGCATTTCTTCCCAGAGTGATGTGGCCTTTTCCAAAATTCTGCAGATGCGTTTTGAGTGGAAAAAATCCCAGACAATCCATGTAAAGCATAATAGTTTTTCCATTTTGCATGAATGTCTCTATTACCATGTCTATTTCTGGGAAGCTGAAGACAGCCAGCAATGTGGAGCTGTTTGTCAGAGCACTGTTCTGGCCTATCCCAGGCACAAGGTAAAAGCAGGGCTGCCAAGATTTTGTTTGCTGAACAACTAACTTGCCTAAGGTTAACAAGTTTTCTTTTGGAAAAACTGTTTAATAGGTTACTCCAAATTAATTTATTCCTCTTCCAAGTTTTATAGCATGCATGATATCTTGTAATTAGCTAGGTCCTTTCAAAGCAAAACCAAAAATACCTAAGTAGAGCTTCAAATGCAGAAGTGACTCTGAAGTGTCTTGCTTAAACCTTTATTTTTATGGTTACTAAGTCATCATTCTCAGCTGAGTATTGGCCTCATGTTTTGACTGAATTTGTTGTAGTAGCAGTGTCACACTGAATAATTTAGTTTTCAGTAGTGACTTCAAAAGGTGCAGTTGTAACTGCTGCCTTTAGAGCAGGAATATAGTTTATTCCTCATGAGTAATAACCACCCGAGCTAGACCCAGCTTGTGTGTTTCTCTGTGTAATGCTTCAGATAGTATTGATGATTGTATTGATGTAGTATAGTGATTGAGGACACCTGTCAAAGTGACAGCAACTGCAGTTTGAAAGGCATGTGTTTCCTAGATCACATCGATGAACGAACCGTTTGTAACGCTATCGCACCTGAGAAGGACGTGGATGGGTTTCATATTATGAATATTGGACGTTTGTGTCTTGATCAGCCTTCTGTCATACCTGCAACTGCTGCTGCCGTGTGGGAGATTATCAAACGGACAGGTAAGACACTGGACTCTGCTGAAAGTCTCTTCTCTCTGAAAATGGATAAAGGAGAAGGTCAGGTGTAAGTTAAAAGTTGTAAGTTACCAAAATGTATTGGGCTGACTGAAGAACACACATTTAGAGGATTAATCTCAATCCAAACAGAAGGGATCTTTTGCCAGTAGCGTAACCATTAATTAACTGGAGAGTAGTCCATGTACAACACTTCATGGAACAGTTTGGGAGCTAATTTTCTGTATTTATAATGTTGCAAGGAACTTCTGTGATATTGCTGTGCTACTGATTAGTTCTCAAAATAGAAGATTTGAATGCATAAGTTCCTTTGGAGGTGAAGGCAAGAAACAAGAAGAAAAATGGGAATATTTAATTGAGTACTAGAGAGATAAAATAATACAGTTGTCATCTGATCATATATATGTTCTTATCGTTAGACATAGAAGCTTCCATTTCTCTTTGTGGGCAGAGAAGAGAAATTTAGTCCCTCCAAAAGGTGGTTCAGATAACCAGGATGAGTTGGCAGTTTGGTTTCCAAGGTAAAAGTTGAAAGTTGTTTTGTGGATTCAGCCCTCAAGTTAAGCCTTGTGGATTTTCAAGTCATGTTGATATCAGCAGTTCTCAACAGAAAACAATTATACTTTGGGTATAAGAAGGTTTGAGTTATATCAAAAGAGCAGAATACAATTTTTTGCAAGTTTTTGGTTTTGTTTTGTTTTTCCTATAAGGAATACAGACATTTGGAAAAAATGTTGTAGTAGCTGGAAGATCTAAGAATGTTGGAATGCCTATTTCAATGCTTTTACATAGTGATGGAGAACATGAAAGGCCTGGAGGTGAGTACATGAGTGTTACTTTAAGGTTTCAATTTGTGAAATCATTAAAATAAAGCTGACCATAGCAGTGGGATAAAAAAAGAAAGGTTTTATCTCTTGTACAGTATTTGCAACCAGATTAAGGAAAAAAAAATAGATAATACATGTCAGGAATGACATATTCTCTGGAGAGAAGTTTCTGGGCTCAACTTTATCTGGGCTAATATCATAATTTCATCTTACGTTTGAAATAGCTTCTGTTCAAGCGTGGTTAGCACTGAACGTTGAGGATAATGCCTGATGGTGTGGCCTGAAAGAGCTGCAGAGGTTTATGTGATGATATTTATTCAAAGTGGTATAGCTAGCTATATGTCTTATCCTCATGGTTATGTAATAATCATTTCAAGTTATTGGTACATAGGCATGCATGCACACATATGTATACACACACATGCATGCATAAATACATGTCATGATTCCTGTGTTGGCCTATGTTAGCTAAGTGGTGGTTATGAAAATACCCAAGTGACTAACAAAATAAGTATTCAATGTGAGCTCTATGATGTTACACGTTAGCCTGAGGGATTTTTCTGCAGTGCATTTTATATCCCCCTGGAAATTGGGGGTTGTAATGGAGATATTTTTAAGTAATTCTAATTACTGAAGCATGCGTGTGCTGCTATAATTGTGCTGTAGAAAGAAAAACAAATATAATTTAAATATAATACTGTCCCTTTGCAACTTCATTTTGATGTTAGAAACTGCCAAGGTGGTGTGCATAAATGAGGTAAACATGAATGTTTAATCCCAGGCCTATTTAATATGAGTGGACTGAAATGTGTTATTAATATAATAAAACACTAAAAGCTTCTTACTAATCACAGAGTTGTTTTTTCCACAGAGTTGTTTTTTCCACCGAGTCTCTGTGGGAAAGTTGCTATTTGAAACTTCTCTCAGTGTTTGAAATGTAATTACCATCAGTGCATAGTTCTGGTCTCATCCCCATTCCCATGAAAATTAGTAGCATTTTTGCCATTTGCAGCAAATATATTGGGTTATATAAGTTACTGGCTGTGCAGTTTGGGGTTTGAAATAAGCTTTAAATAACACAGAGTTATGTTGTAAACTACTTGGATGTTTGTCAGCTGGAAATGAGGAGACTTTGTGACCTGTGGTCCTTTCAGCAACTTGTTACAAAAGCCATAGAAGTTGCGTGGATGCTTTTTGGCTTAAATATATACCTTGTCGTAGCTTTCAATTTCTGAGTTAGCTTGATGTGTGGCTCAGTTTTGTTCGCTTATCCTGGGTTTGTGGTTCTTGTTTGACTGCCTGGTAGTATGACTTGCTTTGGGGGGCTAGTCCATGAGTTTGTTGAGGAACACTGTTGTGCTTTAATTGCTCACCTGCCTGCAGTCTGAGTGCTGCCACGTTACACGGTACTTCATGGGCAGCCCTGGTTACTGGCGTTGTCACTGGTGTGTGTCAAGTGTGCTGTGCGTGGACAGAACAACAGAACAACAGTCAGATACTCCCTTACTGGCACTGAAATATAGATGAGGAAAAAATTAACTCATAGAAGTTACCTTTGCTTATTCTGAAGAAATGGATTTCTTTTTATGGTCTTTTTTCTTGCTTTCCAATCTACCGAGTGGTAGTACACCTTACAAAGCAGCTGGCAATGAGAAAACAAAGGAACATTGGTATTTCTTCCACACTAATGAGCAGTATGTATGCATTTGGTGTGTACATGGTGATAAATACTTTTGTAGTTGGAGGAGTGTAGTACAGTTTTCATTCCTGACTCAGATTGGGCTGTCGTTGAAGATCTGGTTGGTCTTCTGCAGTTAACTCTCTTCTCTGCTTCTTCTCTGTGCAACAAGAGGCCAGTCTGGACAGTGTGTGTTTTTAGGTTTACCTCAGTGGCCATCAGAATATCTGGATGTGTCCTGACAGAGAAGAAACTGAAGACAGTTGACATAAAGCTGATGTAGACAGTGAAGGAGAATGCATAGTGCTGAAGTATAGTGAGATGAAGGAGTTGGAGCTAAAGGAAAGACTGGAAGTGTGAACGTAATAAAAGTAATCAGAGTAATCCTTTCTGCCTGTTTTCTAAGTGGCTAATAGCAGGGCAAAATTTGTGCATTATGATCAGAGATGTGTCAGGATAGAAGATAAAGTGGCTTTAGCATGTGTGTTCAGTTTCTAGATGGTTTGGAGCTGAAAATTACATGTCAGAGTTGCTGATTTTATTTTTACCAAACTTTCTTCTTAAGCATGTATTAAGAACAATCTTAACCTGTTATTACAAAGTAAGTGGAAACTTTTAAATTATTTATTCTTTTTTAATTCAGTGGGATGAGGACCAAACAAGACCTCCAGTTAAGTGCTGGAAAAGATCTTTCTTAGACTGTCAGTTAGGATAGGGTTTTATCAGCAGTTGGGCTGATGTGATTGATGAATTTTTATTGAGAAGTAATACACGGGGCGTATGCGATGCTGTTATTTATTTGTTTTAGCTGCTAGGTTTTTTACAGATTGTGAACAAAATTGAAAACCAGGGGTCTGTGATGTTTTTTATGTAGAAACCGTCATGTCCTGCAGGTGGCGATATCTGATCAGATGGGAAACCTGTCTGAATCCCTACAAAACAAACTTGGTATTGTGCAGGCCAGTCAAGAGACTATCTCTTTTTCTTAAGCCAGTGAATTGACTCAGCACTAACACACAGAATCTTGATTGCTAAATCTATTCCTCTTCTTTTAGCAGAAGTAGCTAAAAATAGAACTAAAAATAGTGTTTTATTTTCTGTTTTGGCATGATCACAAATGAATGGCAAACCTACCATTTCCGAGGTATCTGTAAGTTTCTGGACTCTACACCCCTTTTCCTCCCCTCCTCCCTTCTTTTTTTCTCCGTTCCATTTTGGTGGTGAGAGCAATGACTGAGTTTCAGGAGCTGACTACAAACACATTCCCCACTGAAATCTTGGTGGGAAAATAGTACTGATTTGACATCTTAGAATATGTGAATTTTTTTAACATTGGACATTATTCATTGGTTTTCTCAGCCTCTCTGCTGAGTACAGGATAAGAGGTCTAAAGAATCTCATTGCTTCCTAAAATATATACAGAACTATTGTGATTTTGGGCAAGACATCTTTCTTTTTTTTTGCTTAAACTTCGTATCAGAAGATTCTTCTATTTTATTCAAGCCGTTCTTTCCAGAATCCAATGATAAGTCTACCTGCCTTTCATGTGTGAAGGATTGCCCCAAGTTTTAGTGTGACTGATAGAGCATTAGCCAAGAAAAGGAAAGTGTGTCACATGAAAGAACAGGCATGGTTCTTCAGCAAGGGGTGATTTGTTAAATGATGTGTTTGGAGAACGAGGCCTCCAGAGAAGGAAATCTGACCATCTATGCAGCCTGTATGCTCCTCGCTCCAACAAGTATGTATATGGCCTGCATGCAAATGAATCAGCAGCTGGAGACATGCTGCTTCAGATGAGCAAAATGAAGAGTATCAATGAGTAATACATCAGTCCTGTTCCAAGTGTTTTGTCTGTATCAGTTGATATTTAATGATCCCAAAGATATATTAAAGGAAGAAAAGAAGGAATCTCTACGTGCAGGCTTTGTGTACAGGCTGGGATGTTGCTATTGCAAGAAGGGTTACAGCAGAAATGCTTTTAAGACAATTAACTGTCTAAGCTCTCCATGCACTTAAAGTCATGAGCAGTTCTAGAAAGTCAGTGAGAGGCTTCTAAATTCTGGCAATTCCTCTTACTTATTTAATGAACTTGCTTATGCACATCTGGACTTTTCTTATCATCTGAAAATGTCTTGATTTGTTTCTCTTTGAGGAGTCAATATGCGCTATAAAGAGAGAAGGGTAAGAGGGATCAAAGATGGGGGGAAAGTGCAGAGAAGTCAGGGCACAGACAGGTAGAAGATGAGATGCTTGAGGAAGAGAGTTAATGAGAGGCACTGATTAGATCAGTCAGACACATTCCAGAGGAAGCAGATGTGGTGCTAGTGTCTGAGATGGCAGAATCTCTTAGTTTAATGGTTAACAATGTGGCTTAGGAGTCTATGACAAGTGGAAGGTGGAGATGGTGGGATGTAACACCTGAACACCATGTGGTACAAATAGTTGACAGAGAGAATGTTGGGAGGAGTCTGCTTTGATAGCTGTTATCTTTGCTGCTTTCTTGAGCTGTCCTTGAAGGATCACTGTGCTTGCAGTCCCAATCCCTGAGACAACTGTTGTGTGTGTAGTGGCCTCCTCAGTACCTTCATCAAACAGCACAAGGTTTTTGATTTCTTACTAGGTGGACTTATTTGTAGCTTCTTGACAAGAAATGTGGATACATGCAGGAGCAGGCCCAGGTCTTTGAATTTGCCCAAAAGGACGAGTGCTTCTATTTGTGATAACTTCAAACACTTCCTTCTCTGTTGGGAAGTAAGGGTTGAGCTGTTCTTGTTTTGTCAGGAGATACAAGAGATGGTAGGACACCTGCAAAAATCTGAGCATCTTTTTGCCTGGTTTTCTCTGTTCCTGTTGTTATGCTTGAGCTGTGTGAAATGATGACTTGAAAGGTTTAAAGTGTATGGAAAAGATCGTGCATTGGATATATTGATTCCTGAACTGGTTATGGTGATAGAACTCAGATTCATCTTACTGGAATTGTTTAAATACAGATGCTGCTGTTGATTGTGTTCCACATGTATGTTCCAGAATGCCTCTTCTTGATGAAACCTGACAATGTTTGGGTTGAGAGGGGTTTTGCTGTCTGACCCTTGCCTGCACTTGTTGGTCGGCAGGGTTGCTAAGCAAAGACCCTTGGCCCAAGAGTGTCCTTCTTGCCATAGCTACTGGACTCATGCCCTATGCAATCAGACCCTACAAAGAGAAGAGCCTCAGTTGTCATCTTCTGTTGTTGGCCATGTTAATTGGTGAGAGAGGGACTATCAGCAAGGGACAGTGTCACTTCACTGAACTTGAATTACCAATTATTCCTTGAGTACTCAAAATCTGTCATAACCACAGGCCAAAGACTAACTTTGACTCAAGGGAAACACTGTTGTGAAATTAGGTTACAAAATCTGGGGAGCTTCAGAACAAATGAATGACCCATGTGGTTGAGGACAGACATCCAAACATGGTGATCTTACACTTAAAACTTTAGTTTGTTACAACAGCTGAGTCTTATGGCACACTGTGCAAATTGTGCTTAGTAAGGTAGACACTGGATTCCATGCTGGGTTTGCTCTGTGTAATTCCACTTAACATATGAAGCAGGTTACAAAATAACTCAGTCCACAGTGCATGAATTCCTTCATCCTGGGAGAATTTTTAAGAATAAACATGTTTTCATATGTGTGACCAGCAAGTGTTATGAGTGTTCTGCCTATGCTGAATTAGATGATGCATCCCAAGACAAATCTGATGATAATCTATGCTATTGAGTTGATCATCTTCACGTGAAAAGAAATGTTATGTGTGCATTTCATATATTGCAGTTAATTGATAATCTCTTACATTTCAGGTGATGCCACAGTGACCATTACTCACAGATACACACCAAAAGAGCAGCTCAAGATCCATACACAACTCGCTGACATTGTTATAGTAGCTGCAGGTAATACAAGTTGTTGTTGATACTCCAATCACAACATTTAAAACCTTAAAGTAGACTTTGGTGCTTGTGCTTGCTGAGGGTGTTGCAGGAAGTAGGATTTCTTGTAAGAAGAGCAAGTGATTTGGCTGTTGTTCTTGCCCTTCATATTTGCAGACTCATAAACTGTTTCTTGTCACATGTGACACCTTTCCCTTAGGGAGACTTCAGAGTGAACTCAGGATTGGGAACCAGTCAGTGCATAGTTTATACAGGTATAATTATGTAAATTAAAACATTCTCTGTTCGGTGGAAAAATCATGAGTCACTTAAATTTTGACAGGAGGGTTTCTTTAAATCAGCTGGAGGCTGCGTTCATAAAACAATGGTATCATTCCCTTGCTGTTAGAATTAAGGACAGCCTTGCCAAATTAACTGGTTGTTTTGGTAACGTGTTATTAATGACTGAATTTTTTTTCTTTCACAATAATAATGTAAAGAGGAAGAGAACTGTAATTGCCTGGAGGAAGGGGTCTGAAAGATCAGTGTCTGTTCTTAAAGGAGTGAGAAATACTTTGACTAATCTAGAGCAAAGAAACAAGCCAAACTCTGCTTCTGAGCAACCTCTGTTTTTTTTGTTTGTGGCTATTGTAGATAGAAATACAAATTAATAAAAAAAAACACCCAAAACTGAAAAATCCAACTTAATAAAAACCTTGGTAAAAGTCTGTGTCCCCTTGCAGCTCATGAGATCCTCCTCATCTTGTAACATTTAGTACATCTTGTACCATTACAAGAAGATTGTGTCTTTTCTGCTCCCTTCCACCCTCTCCATCATCCTCAAGACCAGTGTCTTGCTTACTTATTTTCTAGATGAAGACAGAGAGGTACCTCTCTAAAGCTCATCACTTCCTGTTGAAGCAACATGTCCTTTGCTTCAGGGCTTAACTGCACTATCTCTTTCTCATGCCAGGTCATGAACAAGAAACAACTCACTTGTCTCACGGGTGTTTAGTCAACTATGGGCCTGACCAGAATACACTCACTGTGAATGAAAGATAATAATGCATGTGCTAACTGGAAATAAACTAGTAACTTCTCATCCACATTCACTGCTTCCAGTTCAATCATCACTTCTGATTTTTATGCTGAGCATAGTTTGTCATCAGTTATACTTGTAGTTAAATGGTTCAGTAGCAATTCAGCCGTGTTTGCTCTTCACATTATTTTCCTCATGTCTTTTGTAACAGGAGCATGATACATCACTCGTTACACAACATGTGATATACTTGTAGTAATGAAAAAACTCCAGGTCAGATTGTGCAAACAGTATGCAGCCCTGCCCCAGTGGATGCTCTGGGGAAGAGGACACTTTAAAAAGGTGGAATCCCTCCAAGGTTCCTCCTGTTACTTGAGAACTGTGCACATTGTACTTTGGGATAATACATTCCCTGGAAATAGGCAACCTGTCCAGTGAGTTGCAAAAAAGGTCATTTCTACCCTAGCAGGTATAAACAGCTGCTGTCATAAGCCACTGTGCAAGATGTGTAAATGGGAAAGAGCTTTTTGTGTATGTCTGCATGTAAGAGCAAGATTCCTATTCTCATTCTCCTCCTCCTATTGATAGTTCAGAAGAGCCATCTGCATTCTGGCTCTGGGTTTGGTGACTTGTTGGAGTGACTGTTCATTCTGATGTCATGCTCTATCTCTGAGGAGTGTTCTGCTCACTCGCATTCATGGCTTTTGTGATGCTTCAAATCAGGTGTTTCTGTTTTCACTCCTGAGTTTGTCAAATACCCATCTTTATATGTTGTCTCTCATTTGCCCCTTGCCTTGGGACCCCAGTTTTCCTGCTTACTTTGATTGTAACTATCCATGCAGTTTATTCCTTCCCTCTTACTCCCAACTCCTTGCACTGTAAGTTCCAACAATGCTGCTCTTGTCCATCCTACCCCTCTCTAAAATCTGTGTGTCTGCTTCCAGGTGGAGCTACCTAAATTCTTTTACTGTGATGCAGGTTCTGCATTTCTAGCCAAGGCATAGTGTTTCCTCCTGAGCACATCTGGCATCTCACATCCCACCATGGCTTTTCCTATCTTTGCCTGCTATCCCTGCCTATTCAGACATCCCACCAAGGCTATTCTTTTTGCCATCAGCCCAGACCCATATTAGAAGAATTACATGCAGCTTTACTTGTGGTGCTAATAAAGCCCCCACAGCACCTCCAAGGTGGTGATGGAAGCACTAGGCAGTCTTTGACTAGCTAACCTGTTGCTTCTGCTGTCTTGGCTTTCCTGTCTGCCTTGAGAGAGAAGACTCACCTGCCTGCTAGGTTTGGAGAGGGGGTAAAGAGAAGGAGAAGGGGGGGATGCCAAATGCCAGAAGAAATTGTTCTGGGACTACTTAGGCTGTCTCTCGGGACATGATCTGTGGTCCTCTTGTATAGGAATTGCTGATTTGTCAGAGCCTTTTATTCAGATAGTGGCTGGTTGGCTTTCTCAGGAGTTTGGTATTTCACAGTCCTTGTACCTAAGCTGGGCTTTGTCTTCTCTTTTGTCTAAAACAGGGTTAATAATTTTCTACAAAAATCACCAATGAAAGATTTTCCCACATTCTTCAGTCAGTGCATTTTAGGAATAGCTTTTCGAATGCTTATCTCTTCCTACTTGGTATGTAAAGTAGGCTTAAGTAAATAGCTCTGCTCATTTGGTTTGGGGGTTAGTTTATTTGTTGCTATTAAGTATTTGGCCTATTATCAAACCATTTTACAAAGGGTGTAACTGTGCAGCTTCCGTTAATGTGCTTCCATCCCTATCATACACAGATCATTTACCCCCATAAGGCTGAGGCATTCTCCAGCTACTAGCCAGCTTGCAGTTGATTGCATAAGAGTGTGATGAAGTAGATGCAGCCAGCCAGATGTTATCAAATGGCATAGGAAAGAATTTGAGATCTTGGCTTGCTCAACATTAGGAGCAGAGTTCCAAGCTTGTGTCCTATGGGGGAGTGAGAAGTGGTGAGCAGCAAAGGTTCTTGTATTGCCTGTATCTAAATGACAAACTGGCTGTGATCCAGCACTTCACATGAAGCCAAAGCCCTTGAATAGCAGCACTTGCCTCAGGTAAAACTAGGGTTTCAAACTACATTTTTTCTTCTCTTCACCTGAGAGAAAGCTGCTTTTTTGGGGGAGAGGGGGGGTGTAGACTCTCCCTCTGGAGATTACTAGTGTTTCCTCACAGAACATACAACTGAAAGAACTACTGAAGAAGCAAAGAGAATGTAATTATGAAGTTGGAATTTCCTGTCACTCAAAAGCTGGAGGTTGCATAGTAGGAAAGAAATACAGGAGGGCATTTGAAGTGAATATAGGGAAAAGATTGCCACTGTTTCAGTCTGCCATCCTCCACCCTTGAACAAATTTTGGTAAATGTGTTTGCCAAGTGTCAAAGACTTCATTATCTAAAGAATACAGACAGAGCAGTGTCTTCTGTGCATCAGTAACCTTTAAATGTAGGTGGTCTTTCTGCTTCCCCTTTGCTATGTCCAAGTGGAAATGGTAGAAAGGCAGAGTGAGAATCGTCCTTTGAAAGCCCATCTAGTCCATACTAGTGCACCAAAAATGTTATTTTGTACATATTAGTTCAGTCTGCTTTTGCAGTGCTAGAGACTTCCATATTCTTTTCCCAGACTACTTGCTCTCGTGGTTTCTCTGTTCTTGTGGTTAAAGTCCTGGAGAGTGTGGCAAGGGACATGACTTAAGTCTACTACTTTGTCATGTTTATCATGGGCATGGAAAAAAAAAAAAGTATAGGTCCTCTTCTTGTGCCAAAAGTTTGTAATATCCTTGAAGGCTGTCATAAAAGGTTAATTATTTGCAGTTTCCTCATAATCCTCATTGCTCTTGGTATTTTGTAGAGATGTGAACAGACACATCAGAGAAGTCTGGCAGCCACAGTGACAGTGTGGTATCCCAGCTGGTGTCACACGTTGAAGAGATGAGGGTTTATATGTGTGTCTTGCAGCAGCATGATTGTGTCTGTCTCTGTTCAGTTGATCTAATCCTAAATTCTTTTTCTGAAAACTTACTGGCTAATCAGTTGTTTGCTGTCTTGCCTTTATGAGGGTTAATGGTTTATGTGTAAATATGGTGTCTTCCCTTCTTTTCTGTTGTCTGTCAAGTGCTTTTGGATGCACGGCTCATTTTTTTTTATTTTTTTTTTTTTCCAGTGGCACATGATTTCTAAGCTAATCTGTTCCAAGTTCTTTCCAGCTTTGTGTCATCTGCACTTGAGCCACTACTAAATGATAAGGGTTCTCTACCATCACACTGATGACATATAAGTAAACTCCCAGCCCTCCTGGTGCTTCCTCCACTTGTGCTCTCATTTTCATAGAGTACCCTTGGAGCCTCTTACCTGCATACAATTACCCAGCTGGATTTTCATCCAGTATGTTTTTCTTGGAAAGAGCAGGTGGAGAAAGATTTACCTGAAAGGCAGTTGCTTCTCTCCACCAGGTACAGGCCATGCTGTGTATTATGGATAAATCTGAGCTGGCCATTTTATTTTTTATGGTTGTCAATCTGTTGCTACTAAATGAGGGGAGTCAAAAATAAGATGACAGGATAGATGAGATTCTCACCATGCTAGCATTTTTTATTTGCACCAATGGTATTTCATGTAGTTGATGTTCATTATTTAAGTAACTGGGGAGTATTTAAGTAAAGAATATGAGCAGTCAAGAAGTCAAGAGTAACACAAATCCAATACAGATGCTAAAAAGCAACAGATAAAGAAAATGCTGTGGAGGTTAACTGCTTCAGCAGCTGACAACTCTGGACCAGCAGACGTCTGACAATGATAACAGCTTCTTGTAGCTTGCAGAGCATCTTTATGGTCCAGCTTTGCTTTGGAAATGCTATGAAAGGAACACATTGCCACAAACTAGCAAGTATTTCCTTCAACTGATCATGGTTGCAGGTTTAGTTGAAAATATTTAGTCAAAATGAACAAGCATCATCTTTCCTTTTCATAATCACAAGCTGTGTGAAACTGAGGAATAATTGTTTTCCTTGTGAGACATATCAAGAAAAATTAAAGTGAAAGAATCACTTTCTTTTTTGTGCATACATACGCATGCCTGCACATCCCTTGATACAATTGGAAACTGATGGCCTAAGACTACCTGGCTGTGTTAACCAAATGTACCTTGATGTTTCCAGGTATCCCAAAGTTGATCACAACTGATATGGTCAAAGAAGGTGCAGCTGTGATTGACATAGGCATCAACCATATCCATGATCCTCTTACAGGAAAGACCAAGTTAGTTGGGGATGTAGACTTTGAAGGTTAGTGAAACACTCTTCATGTATAAACTTGGATAAATGTATTTAAGTTTGGGGGATTAATCCACTATAAACACTTGGAATAGCCAGTGTCTCAAATTAGACAACACTTGCAGGATTTTTTTCGGTTTTATTTACTTAAATGTGAACACAAAGTAATTGTTCATGTATCAGCTCTTAAGAAGTGGTGATTATTTGAGAGAAAATGCTATGTTTATGTACACATACCAGCGTCATTTAAGAGATGCAGATGAGTTCTTAAAGCAGTGTGGTGGCAGAAGATACTTGTCTCCAGGTTTCTTTAATCCTTTGTGGTCTGTCAAGTGTTTCAAGACTAAGCAATAAAAACAATTTCTGCTTTTTCATAAGTGTAGGTTCTCCCACTATTCATAGCAACTACTCTTATTCCACAGCCACCCAAGCCTCCTTTTAGGCTCTCACTCTACCCTTCTATGTGAAAATGTTAATTCCTGCTTTAGAAGTATCCTTTTTGCTAAGGTTTAATGTGGGTTCACCTTAAGCTGTTCAAAATCTTGATCCAGGCAAGCCTAACAGATAAAAAATTGTGTTACGTATTGATCTTTTTGTGTTTAATGTGTTGCAGAGCAAGTTCACAATGTAACTTGATTAAATATCTCTGCTCTGGAGGAGCTCCAAACTGGAATAGCAGGATTGTTGCAGCTGAAAATTAAAGCTTATTGGCAGAGTTGAGTGTGGGAAGCTTAGACAGCATTTGCCCACATTATTAATGGTTCTCAACAGTTCCTTATTTTGATAAGTATGAAAATCACCCACAGATGTGTTTTTTTTTCACAGTTATTAACATCTTGGCTGGCATAATGTCTCAAAGCTTAATTATATTCAAAATGTTTCTAGCCAGCTGTATTTGTAATTACATCACTCCCTTAGTTCCTGCTTGTTTTCCTCATCAAACACGATGCCTGGCTCTTAAAAATCCATGAAATTACCTGCACGAGCTCAGCTGAGTGACTGTCTCAGGGTGTGCTGGGAAATGTAGAGCTGCGTGTGTGCAGCAGACCTCCAGTAGAAAAGTACTTGCACAGTACAACCTGAAACCTTGCTTTGATTTGCTACCTGTTTGTACTATCACAAGTAAAAGCTTCTATTTTGTTTTTGGACCTGAATTAAAGGGCAGAGACTTTCGCAGGTTTTCTTGTTTGCTTTAGCAAGGATGTCAGGAGAAAAGCTATAACTTTGAGAAACATGATATTTTGTATCCTTTTTGTTTGTTTTGCTTTAAATGCTGAATGAATACACCTTCTGAATGTGATACAGGTGTAGATTCAATGACAAGGCCAGTGATTCAGAGTTTCAGCAATGCACTGTATATGTCTCGTCATGTCTGCTGTGGGATGTACTCAGGATTTTACCTGGGGGGAGGGAAGATCCAAAAAAGAGGGAGGAACTTCAACTTGGATTATGCCACTACAGTTGCAAGTAGCATTGCACTGTGCATTGCCAAAGGGAAATTGTTGTTGGTTCAGTGGTATCGGTGCAAGTTTCACTAAATCTGTAACAACAACAAAAAAAACCCTCCCAGTGTATAAAGTTCTAAATACTAAAAGGTATGCTTGCCAAGTATTTGATTGGGCAATTAGGAAATGGAACAAGCCAATGTCCTCATGTAGCAAATATTTTTATTCCTTTCCTCTGATCACTAGACTGAATTTATATTCCAACCAAAGTGAAAATTATTTTTGCAAGTTAAGGCTGGGCACATAAATGGCTGGCATGACATACATGTTTAACATCATGCAGCCCACCAAAGTCTATTGTCTCATTATTCTCTTCTTTAAATAGAAAAAATACAGTTGTGAGGAGAGTTGAGATTTAACAGGGCAATCAGAAGGTAAATCTGCTTTTTAATAAATAGATGGAAGTGGTTCACTTCACCAGCTCATCCAATTGAAAATCTCCTGTAATGGAAATTAAGATTATTAGATGGGTGAAAACTGTTATGACTGTATATGACTCAGTTGTCATATCCTAGCAATGCTTGGATGTCATCCTCTGATCTCTAGGAAGTAGGTTAGGCATTAAAGTTTATTTTTATCTCTTTAACAAGAAATTAATGCCATTTCAGTATTTTTTTAAATGTTGTTCATTATTACATTTGAGGTAAGAAATGCCTGGAGAAAAAAAAAATATCCCTAAAACAGGCCAAGAGAATTTAACAGCTGCACAAAAAATGAGTTTTAAAGATTTGAAATCTGTTCTACAATCTGAATTAGGTGAAGCCATCTCAGCTTCTGCTTTGCATGCAGTCCCCTGGAGCCAGGGGACTGACCACA